CTGAAGGCCTGCAATTAGGGAAAACCCACACAGTTGAGTGAATGAGATTTTCTCAGCAAAATCCACATAACTTAATCTAGTTATGAGTGAGTTACACAGGTCACAGAAATGGAAATATGCAAGCGAACTTCTCTCAGCCTCTAGCCAGTGAGTAGTTCCAGTCACCCCTTAAATAAACTCTCCCGTGTTTTATTGGGTTTCTTTCTAAAATTGCTCAAGCCATGTGCTCTCTTTTTCCTTGGATGACTGTTCTATCTCATGATCAAAACAGAACATTTTTTGCTTTGCACTAGGATGTTCATCAAAGGCAGTTAAATATGCTTTCCCCCTCTCCCCCCATGAGGTGTGTGTTGATAGTGTTGGGTTTCAAAATGCCTAAGAGAAATCTACTGAACTCAGAAAGGAATCCATCAGGAAAAAGATGGTGTAACATCTGGTGTCCACAAAAGCTAAGTGGTGGCAGGGACAGCTCCTGACAGTAAAATGGAAGATACTCCGCATGTGCTGAGGTAATTTTTTCCCTTCTTCCACCACCCCTTTTTTTGGGATACAGGCTCCTTTGGCTAGAAATACTTCTCAAGTCCCTGATGAGCAAACTATGAACTCAGGACAGAAATAGTTTTAATGTGGTAATTCTCGGGAGCATCCCTCCCTGTCATGCTCAGAGATGTATGATACCCAGAAAACTCATTTCATCTAAGTAATTTGTGAACTACTTTATGGATAGATTTCTGTCTTGCTTTTCCCAAAAATTCAGATACCTTCCTTCTTAAAAAAGGGTAAAAAAAGAGCAAGCATTGCAAACCTGTGGTCCTCCAATAGCAAATTCTTTAAATACTTGAGGGAACATAAATCATGCAAATACAGAGCTGTAAAAATCCAGGGCTTTTCCATAGCCCTCCCTTTAGGGTGGGGTGGTTTCACCTCCACATCTTGGCTAAATACTCCAAGAACAAAGTTCTTGCCCAGATATCCCAATCTATAACATAATGACCAGCTGTTAAAATGATATCATTTGTAATAACCACATCTGTATCTCACCATCCAGATGCTGGTGGGAAAAAGCATTCAGCAATCTCCAAAGCCACATAAAATTCTTCTGTGCAGATGTTTTTTCTGAAATTTCCCTCTCTTCCCTCAGTTCACTGAGCACCTAAACTGGACTTTGGGGCAAATTGGCCCTAGATAAGGCTTCTATAGGCCATTTGACCTTACAAAGCAAAACACAGACACTACCCTGATAAGAGGGAGGTCCAATCAGCAGCAAAGGAGGGCAGAATTTGAACTCTACTGCTCCTGAGCTGTAGACAATTTGCCAACACTTGTCAGGCTCCATCACTTCCCTGTCTGAAGAACCGACTACTTCCCAAGTGGTTAAGGCTAAGTGCAAGATGCTCTTCTTTTGTGCATCAGTAGGCAATCTGGCCTACTCAGTGCTCCAAGTGAGGAAAAATGCCATGAGGGCATTTGAAACCAAGGGCACATTATTAAAGAAAAAAGAGGGAATGGACAACGGACAGACAGACATACAGATTACTTTCTGATTTAATGTGACACTGAAGGAAGTCAGACTGAGACTCAGACCTAACCATTTGTCACGCACTCCAGCTTAATGTTACCTCTGCTTAATGAGCACAGAGGGAATGCCCAGCAGTAACATCTTCAAGGACATAATTTTGCTTGTGGAGTAGCTGAAAAACACATGATTCCTGATGGTTTTTTTAAATGTCAGTGCAGTTCATCACATACTTGTCTACACAAGAAAAGTGCCAGAAAATATTTCCACAGGCTAAATGAGGAGTCTGCCAGTTCATGCTCCAGCTCCTATGTGCTCCTGCTGTAGTAGTGCAGCAGAGCTACACCACAGCTACAGAAACTAGAGGAAAAGGCTCCTGCTACAGAAGCAGCACAGGATCAATATAATTTAAGCTCTGTGGCTTCTCAGTTCCCAAGAGTATCGGTAAAGGCAGCATTCCTTACAGAGCTAAATGTCGCAGAGAACTGGGAATCTGCAGTCCAAAGTAGAGTCACCTTGGCTTCTGCACTAAAATTATGCTCTAGCATCCTTCAGGATGCTGAGGAGCTAAAAGCCATCTTTCCTCTCACCTCCCAGCTGGCTGTACCTCTTATGTTTCAGCTTTCAGAAGCTCAGGAGAAAATTCAGCTTTCTAAGTAAGGAAAGGAAGGGGATGTCTAGTTATTCTAGCACGGAGCACCAGAACAAAACCCAAGATGCACTTGTTCTCATCTCTAGGCAGGACAAACCTGATGTGAGAAACTACAGTATTTTGTACCTCTAACTCATGCTCCAAGACCCCCATGGCACTTCCTGCATGCACACATAATTTAGAAAGGTAAATCAGCACCAAAATACTGTTTTGAGTTTCCTTTGAAGTACCTAGTATTGATGAAAAGTTCTGCAGAGAACTGTCTTTTTAGGGCTGTATGAGCAGTGGCTATCCAAACTCCCAGGAGGGAAGAGGACTCACAAAAACAACATTTAGGGATGAGAGGAGATTGTAGGCTTCATGATCCACTAGGATACTTGCTCAGGTTCCTCACTTTTGAAGGTGCTGTGGAATGGACTGAAATACAGTAAATCTTGTCTCCTACACTGCAGGTTTGAGGCTGCATTTGCTTCCATTTTCTGAGCTAAGTATAGCATTTGGGATATCAGGTAGGTCATTAATGATCCATGGTGAAGACAGGGAGAGGAAGAGCAGCAGAGATGCCTGTGCTGCACTGAAACAAGATGCAGGTGCTTCTGGTTTGCATTCCAAACACATCCCCACTTGGGGCTGCACATAGAGCTCCCAGACACACATCTGTGGATAAGATTTAGTCAAATAAAAGTCATACTAGTAATAGCCCAATCTTTGAGCACAGATCAAAGGAGAGGCGAGTGGAGCTACAGCCCCTGAACCTGACTGTACAACTTGTCTTTTACCCACCACTTTTTATGTTAGCAAGGACAATGACAGGAGTAAAATGAAAAAAGGAGGAGTGTGAATACCTTCTGTGTACATGAGTAGATTTAGGAACCCCAGAACACTTTCTTCCCGGAAATATTTTAATTTTCTGTTCATTTGCATTTCTGGAGTGGAAACATAGTACAACTCACACAAAAAAAAATCACACCAGCGCAAACTACACTTTGGTGCAGTAAAATCAAATTTTTAAGTATTTGACATGAAAAATAACAAGGATATTGGAAAACATGATCATAGGGAACCTGTGAAGTATCTTCTGTGCTAGTAGATAGTATGAATTGACCTGCAAGTAAAAACAAGGAATGTCTAATTTCCAGGAACAACTTCCTCTGAACTCCTGATCAGAATTTTGAAAATAAACTTTGTAAATTCTTCCTTGGAGAACAGCCATGGAGACCTGAAGATGCCACAGGTCCTATGAGAGGGGTTCAGCCAGGCCAGGTTGCCAATCAGGCACTCATTTTAGTTTAGACCCCCTGCTACTTGTTGGTGAAGAAATTCCTTCTTCCCAGGAAGAGTCATTCTGGACCCAGTTGCCATACAGTGCCTAGGGCAGTCTATTTAGCCCTGGAGGGCTTCAAGATGTTTCAATGGTATTGTACTTTCCTGTGCAGAATGACCTTAGCACCTTCAACTCAATGGCCTTGCTGGAACCTAACATGTAAAATTGCAGCTTTTCTTTTTTTATCTCACCTACCTTGATATTAGGGAATACCAGATCACAATAATGGACTTATATCTAACATTTTATACACAGTTTTATTAAAAAAAAGGCAGATACACAATTAAGGTGCCAAGATGCATGAAAAAAGTTTTCTCACTTCATGCAAGCAATTGCCATCCTGAGTAATATTCACAAAATGGAGACTTGCATTCCAGAAGGAAAAAGCTTTAAACACCTTGAACTTCATTCTCCAGCTGACTGATCTGCAGAAGCTAACTCTACAGTACATTTCAGATCTAGATCATTGGGCCCCAAAATCCCTGGCTAACCAAGAAGTTTCATTTATATCTATCAGTTGTTTTTTTTATTCTGCTTGTCTCCATGTCACAACAGAGAGCGACCTTGGCAGAGACAGATGTTTGTTTTACTTGCTTTACAGAGAGGTCGTTTTCATGCTCTTTTTCATGTCAGTCTCACGTTGGTGCCTCTTGGCTCTTCTTCCTGTCACGAGCCAGATGAGTAAAGAACCCGCCAGGACTCCGGCCACTGCAGCCACAATCACAGCCCAGTAGGGGACTGAAGGTTCGGTTTTCTCCAAGTTGAGATCTGCATTTCTGAAGGCACTGTTTCTCAGTGTGGAAAGAAATGGTTTCTCCTACAAAGAGAGAGCAAAGGTTTTACTGGCCACAGACCACTCAATGGGCAGCATTCAGGCAATACGCTATCACCCCTACCCAGAGAGGAACTGTCAGTTTTTAGACAGATGTATCAGCTGTTTCTGCCTTCTGTCTATCTTAGCTCTTATTGCCTGGAACTTTCTAGAACAAAAAAAGGAGCCACCTGAGACAGTGATGTCATCATTGCCAAATTTGTTTGCTGCAGACACCAAAGAGAAAAACACAGACACATTAGAACTGGCTTAAACGAGAGGCTTTCTACTGCAGTGAGGATGATTTTTTTGCATTAAGTTTTAAGTAGTTTTTCCTGTGTGTAACAAAACATATTTTATCTATTTAAAGCCTTCACAAACATACTCTCTTAAATAATTTTACCAGTAAGAAGAAAGGAGAAAAATAAAAGTGGTTAATGGAGAGTATGGACATCTTGACCTTTACTTACTGGGTTTGGACACTTGAGTTTTGATCTGTCATGGGTAAAGTTGTTGTAACTCTGCTTTTCACCAACTGGCTCCAGCTGGAGAAGAAAAAAGCAATAGTAAACATAATGATGATTTTTTTTCCTTCTTAGACTCCAAGTTTTGGTTACAACTTTTTATCCAATGTTTTGGTGCTTGCAGCAATGAAGAAATGTGGTAAAAGGTGCATCACAGGAAAGTTTCCAAACATTTTAACACTCGTGAACCGAAGATACTGAGAATCTGATGTATCGTGTGCAGAAAAACTCCCTCAGAATGCAAGAAACATGAGAAGCCTCTCCTTCTTTTGCACTGCGTGAAGGAGAAAATAATTCTGAATACCACATATTTGAAATATTCTGCTAAAACAAAGTTTTATGGTTCACTATACACCCAGTTCTCCCACATACACATCTCAAATGACAGTATAAACCACAAAGAAAAAAAACACAAAACACCACCACATGACAGATGTTAGTCATGTTACTTAGCAGAGCACTGAAAGATGCTTAGGTATCACAGCGATGGACTTCAGAAATAAAGTAGTTGCAGAGACAGGATTAGACTGTGCCAACCTTTACGGTCTTCACTCAGACAAGAAACTCCCTGGGAGTTTTAGCTGAGGCTGAGTTCACAAGATTGCAAGAAGTGAAATAAATTGAGCTTTTTATACTATCAGTTGTCAGCTAAGTGCCAATAGCTGACCATAGGCTCATTCCGAGTCCATTTCAGACTCAAAATATATCCAGGCTAATGACATAGCATTCGTGGTTGGCTAGGAGCGCACATGCCATTGGTTACCATAGTTAAGCTAACAAGTAGAGGCTTGCTCAGTCATGTTAACTGTTAAAGTGTCTACAACTGGGCATGGACATGCTTGAAGTAATGACTTCAGGACTGGCCCATAGAGAACCACAGAGTTGTCATGCAGTACTTCTGGGAATACAGCACAGAGGAGTGCTAGTGCTTCTGCTGTTGTCTATACGTGTATTTACTGTCCTTAAGTGATTAAAGTGTCATCTGTATGTTGGAGAGAAATAATACCACAACAAGCCCCACATAACACAGAGAAAACAAATTCTGTTCGTAAGATTCCTGCATGAAAAAACTGGGAATACTTTCTAGTTCAGTTAAAAAAAAAACAATAAAAAAAAAATAAAAAGGGAGGTAGATGCAGTACGACAAACTGTGACTAGGGAAGGGAAGAAAGCTAAGAACTGAGAAGCAAAAGAGAATGCCAAGTTTTGCTGATTGTTGTGGGGTCCTGCTGGACTCATATAAAAGTCCTAATCACTCGGCCTGCACACCAGCTAATGTGGTGAAGACTGAATTTGGTAGTTTTGTTGCATCTTAAAGGGAACAGCTCAGACTCTGATGTGGTTATTTGCAAGATGTGTGGCTCATATCTCATAGCATTCTGTCTGCAGTACAACTGGTTATTTGTAGATAATTGTAATACTCCTCGTGCCAGGGCTCTTGGTGAGGAGTCTGGCGCAGAGTCCAGACAAAGTATGATAGGATGCAAAATTCTGTAGCCAGCCATGTGATCTTCATCTCTATGTGATCTGTTCCTCAGGAGCATTAGCTTCTGAGTTTTGATGATAACAGTATCCCCATGTCCATGAGCGTACAGGGCAACTTCTAGAAGAAACACACAGCTCCTCTAGAGCACATGGCAAACATGGAGGCAGAACACAAGCTAAACACACTGTCTGTGAGCTCTTCTTCTTGGCCAGGGGACCAATGAGATGGATTTGGGACCAGTGGGGGACCCTTAAGACTACAGAGTCCTCTGACTTCAGAGAGCAGGAGCATGCTTTGCTTTGCATGAAGCAAAAACGAAAAATAACATAATGTTGAAGGAGAGGCTCCTTAAGCCATCTCCATCCCTGCATGCCCATGCAGTGGACAGGCACAGTCAGGCCCTTTATGTGTACTGACAAGAATCCGTGTCATTTGGCCACGAGCCTGCAGCCTGCTGAGCTTTTCGGGGAACAGGGAAACAATACGGCCTTACAGTAAGCTTGCACAGCCTCGCCATACATGGACTGTGAGTGAAAAGCAGGGATGTGTTACAAGAACTAGATTTAAATAGTAAACAGTAAAATCTTCAGTTGGCATAGACCCACAGATCTCTATGGAAGGGAATAGTTGTGCTTTGCATCAGTAAGAACCCTGGTAGGAAGCTTTGTGTCAATATCCTTACATGCGTGGGAAATGAGTGACAGTCTGGACAGAATAAAACTCTGGTGGCATAGCAGAAAGACTGGTGGTGATTCAGGAATGAGTAATGGCCAATAGGAACACCACGTGGCAACAGAAACCCAATTTAAGGCTGCTACATATCCAGGTATCATCACATTTTCTTCTTGAAACACTCAGCCATGTTCCATGTGAATGTTTTCCATGTTTGCCTGGGGTTTCTGGGCCACCATTAGCCCTGTTTGAGCTACCACACAGTGAAGCCTACCAGACTGCTGTCATCTGGAGTCCTACACACGGTAGCCTGACAAAGAACAGGCAGATTTGATGTGCATACAAAAATCAATTTCTTAGGCATGTGCATGCACTGTACATCTACTGCTTTCTGTAACCCTGGACCTACAGCTCATATGCTACACTGGGAAACTGCACCAATTTCTGCCCTGCATTTCCCCATTCTTGCGCTGAAGTTCATTCTGGAGTATCCTGTAAGTTCCTTATCTTGCTTAAGCTTTTACTTAAACTGAAACGAAATTCCCCTCTGTTTATGTTTGTTTCTTGTACAACGCAGGATACAGGATTTCTGCTACTGCAATGTATTTGGGTACTGGTGTTTATGAGACAAGAGGAGGAAATGTCACTGTGGCATGAAAATGCCATAGTCCCTTCAACCATAGGAAACATGATGGTTCTGAAAGCAACTGTGACCTTGCAGTTATCAAGTGCAGCATGTGCCTCTTACACACTCTTCTAGCACTATTCAAAAGCTATAATTTCTCCAAAAAAGACAGAAGGAATGTGACTGCAAACAGAGGCATCATAGGTGTGATTTTGGCCCACCCGTTAATTTCAGTGACTACTAGAATTGCTTCAGACACTAGCGTGGGTGATGCAACCTGTCCACACTATTAATGGCAGCAAAATTTAAATCACATGTATGTTTTCCTAATAAAACTAACAGAATTCACTGAAGAAAGGCAAGCTTATTCAACAAACATCTTCAGGAAACTTAAAGGAGTAAATGTTTTACTAGGCTGATTCTTTTTGTTTGTTTTAATGCAAGTTATTTACTGAATGAGAAGGGAACTTGTCATTACATTAAGACTCTTGGGATTTCTAATTCTGAATCAGCAAAAGATGCTGTTTTATGCAACATCATTGCTTTGGATTGTGCTCCTAAGCAATGCAGACTGAGAAGGGTCTCAGAGTTGAGCAGACCCCCTCTTGTTAGGATATCAATTTTATTTCTTGCTTACTGTTTCATTTCACACACCTTTCTTATGATCTTTTGTAGAGACTGCTGCTACAAACACATAGGGATCTAGGTCGTAACCTCTTACCATATTATTCCAGAGAGCCATGGCCATCTCAGCATAGCCTCTTACACTGAAATGAAAGCAGTCTGCAGCAAAGAAACTCAGATCTGGCTTGCCGTTCTGTAATAAAAGCAAAAAACGTATTTCTCGGGACATTTCAACCTTAGAGTTCTGACATATTTTATCTAGTATGGCAGACTCACTTCGCAATTTTGGTATCTTCCTAAAGGCAATATGCCTATATTTTGGTACTGCAAATAAAGTTAGGTATTCCTAACTGTGGGCTGGTTACTGCATCCTGAGACCTTCTTTGTAATGCAGCCTGCTCAACTTCACACAGCAATTTTCACAACAAACCTAAATTTGTCATTAAACCAACAGCCACAGCTGTTATGTGGACTCTGCCATTGACCCACAATCCACCACAGAACTGACAGAAAGCTGGTTGCTTATACTTGCTTGTTAAACTTCCATAACAATTTGCTGAATTTCAGGCAGCATGAAAAACTGTGAGCTTATCCAGTTGTGGCAAATGTCTGTTTTAGGGAAAATTTACCTCATCAGTATCAATATGATAACCATTCTTTGGACTTGAAGGCTGCCAGAACAAAATGGGCATGATAGGACAATGGTATTATGCAAACTGTGTGGTTTTGACCAGGATTCATGCTGAATATTTCTATCTCTAAATATATAGCATACATAATGCTAAGGCTGGAGAAAAGAAGGAGAATCAGTGTCTGATTTCAAAGGCTGCTTCCTGTTTCCAGGCTGGGATGATCCAGGCATGCAAGTGCTAGTCTCTGTGAAGGAAACCTGAACATACTCCATAACCTAGATCTGAAGAAAATTGCGGTGAATGCCAACCAAGCCCCCAACAAGGGAAGCAAGAGGGGAACCAACACTCAGTTTAGAAGAAGCTAGTGGGTGCTTAGGTTTAATGCATGGACACTATAGATGATTCCTAAAGTCATTTTTATTCACAGGCATAACAGTCTTTCCTGTCACTCTTATTGCAGGTTCCACCCTGTGCTGCTAGACTATGCAGAGAGAAGAAAACACAGTCCTTGTGAGATGGATCTTACTGCTTATCTTTTTATTTAAATAAATCAAGTTATTGGTCCTTGAATAATGGGAAAAAAAATAGGACTTACACTATCCAGGGGCAACAAAGTGTTTCGGAAAAATGGCTGCGTGACAACCACGAAGTCCTCACGTTCTTCATACCGACCGCTGTTGATCAGCTGTAAGGCTTCAGCCTGTATGGAGTTGCATGATTGGAAACAGAAAAAAAATTTACAAGGTTCATCTAACATTTGTCAGCTATCGAAACCACGCATATTACACTTCTTGCAATGTAGGAAGACATAAATTATTAGCATAAATCCAGATGATTCATATAAAGCAGTCCAGAGAATGGCTAAGAAAATACTTTGGTTCGTGAAGAAAATGCATGGAAGCTAGGATAATGTAAAATGAAAAGCTGCTTAATTTAAAAAAAGTAGTTCGTACCTTACTTACAGAAATCAGTGCTGCAGAATCACAAGAAGATGCAAATTTACAGATAATTGAAAAAAAAAAAAAAAGCCAAAATTTTTAGAAGTTACGAATGAGTTCAGAAGGCCAACTAGAGACTGAAATGCAATTGGTTTTTCAGAAAGATATACTTCAAGTAAAATAAAACTTAAACATTAAAAATTCACCTGCCGCTTTTGAAAACCATGGCAACAGACATTTATACAGATAGTAAAAACATCTCCTTCTTACTTGCCAGATAATGGGTATAAATCCTAATGCTCCTGGTTATATCTCAAAACATTCCTAACCTCACTTCTTTAGTTAAGGAAAATGTCCCCCTGGGTGGGTTTATACAAGTATTTTCCAAGATGGATTTTTTGTCAGATTCATCAAACATCTGGCCAGAGCCAGAATGTGAACTGATGCAGTGATTCTTGTATTCAAAGGATGGAACGATGGAAAAAAACTTTCTGCTCCAATAGCTATTCATAGCCTTTGTTAAATTTGATTGAATCTTAGGCCTGAGGCTAGATAAAGTCTCTCTTAGACAGTGAGCTGACCCATGGTGAGCTATCTGTGTGCACGCTCTCAGTCCATGGCAAAGGAAAGAAATATCAGGTTGGTTTAGTTCATTTTCTCTGCTAAGAGTTACCACAGAAGAGCTGATACAAGGTAATTTGTCACCCTTGCAGTGACATGTTCATTCATGTGAGCTTTTCATTGGATTCATAATGGACAAACACATATCAACACAACCACCACCACCAGTAACTACTTTTCAGCTGTCGAAACAGCGACTGGAAACAGAATCCGTCTCGATCTGCCTCCAGCTTAGAACCAAGGTCAAATTATAAAGCAGTGTAGAAAGACTTGCACTGCTACTAACTGGTTAGCTGTGTGGGGTTTTAGTTAGACTGTAGCCAAATTGTTTCCCAGTCATCCCATTCTGTCTTGCTGAGGATATGCAGAAGAGTAACAGCAGTGAGGGAAGACATATAAAAAGACACAAGTGAAGACAACCAGTTACAGAATCAAGGTATTACCTGAAAATCCCTGTTAAGTCTCTTAATTTCTTGTAGTTCAGAAGAATTTTCCTCAGGGTTTAAGAAGCATGGGCAAACATTCCTTCAGTTAAAGAAATACTAGAATTAAAAGCCAACCTGGAATAGCCTATGTGGTTTTTCAGCCATGTGTGTCTGCTTCATGAAGCTCAGGACAGGTGCTCAAAGCTCCCATGCCGAAAGAAAGCCACCTCATTGCCTTACAAATGAACAATGCTTCAGAAAAAAAAAATCCATAATGACTTAGTTTTCCAAGTGAACACCTGTCATAGCTGGTAAGAGCTGCAGGATCCACAACTCTTGAGTCAAACACAAAAGTATTTGGTATGCCACTTAAGCAGGAAATCACACGTGTCAGAATGAAAAAAAAACCCAAACCACCCAAACACTACATGTAGGCTTACAGCAGCTTTTCAGATATCTGTGAGGTTAAAGGTACAAATACAAATTGCTCATGTAGTCTGACCCCTTAGACCTCTGTGTTTTATTCTGTTAGCTCCATATCAAGAGGTAATTTACCTGTACTTCACTGAAATGCATCCTCTAAGAATGTGCTTGGAATGACTATGAAGACATCAAGCAAGACAGTCAACTCATTATTTTCCTTTCTACTGTGTTCCAGTAGTTAATTGCTTCTATTATTAAAAATCTGTGCCCAGCTTCATTTGAATTCATTAGGCATCAGCTTCCAACTCCTGGTCTTTGTTATGCCTTTCTCTGCTAGACTAAAGAGCCTTTTCATGTCCATGCTGACTCCTGTAAAGGCACTGCTGCTTTCTAAAACTAGTCCCTCAATCATCTGTGAGTTAGGATATGAGTCTCCCTCCATTAGGTGTGAAAAGCAGTTCCTGGTTGTGTGCTCTGCTGTATGCAGCCCAGCCTGCACCACAGGTGAGGCAGCACTGAATAAATGGAGAGGCATCAGGGATGTTGGCCCATGCTGCTGAGCAGTGAATGGCTGAGTGAAAAAGGCTTTCAAGTTCAGCATTACAGCAATTATATGGTGACTTGTGCTGTGACACGCTGCCTTAGAGCCGAGAAGAAAAGTGACGACCCTGCTGTCTACAGGCACATGCCTTCTAGCTGAATTACTGGAAGAAGTAATAGAAAGTTGACGGTCACTAGTGCATCAGGTAAAGGCCGCAATGAAAGTAGCATGGAAAGCTTGGTGTGGATGTCCTACTGTAGAAGCAATTTAGGTTGATAAAAAAATATAGCACTTTAAATGTGAAGACCTGCTTTGCTCACTTACTTTACTATCAAAGCGCACCCCGAAGAGCTTGCTGCGATCTGACGCAGTCCAGAAATCTCTAGTATCTCCACCACGTTGACAAAGACTCTTGGGAGCTGCAGAGATTATAATAACCAGACATACCACGTCACAGAACATGATACCACTGCAAAGTGAGAAAGAAGTGCCATCCATAGGTCAGGGAGTCAGTGCAAACTGCACCAACTGCAGCCAATGGCATGTGCAAGGATGCTGTATAAAGGGAAGGGGAGAGAGACATACGGTGGATATCAGCCAAAAAATTCCTGGCAGCTAGTACAAACTAGCTGAAATGCTGCTTCACTCCCTGGGGCATTCCCATTTTCTCTAGGGTAGGTGAAACTTTGTACAGTTACTTTAGCCATCAAAACTGGCAGTAGGGTTGTGCTATGTTTGGTCCATGGGAAAAATACTGTGAAACACAGTTTTACTGAAAGTGCAGCCCGCTTTCTCAGGGTATTATCTAATACAGTTGTCGAAATGCAGTGCTGAGGAGCAGTCCGACTCTAGCTATTTGGAGGATGACCTTGTATGAAACAGAATCACTGACAGTCTACCACAGGTGAGAAACACATCAGTGTGCTCGCCAGGAACAGAGATTGCTAGGATATCTTGAAAGCTTACCTCCTCATAGAGAATATCCAGAGTGTCCTGGAGGTGCTTTACATACTCTTGTGCTGAATAGGTTTTCTGTGTAATTAGGAAAAAAAATTGGATCAGCCTTCTTTCAGGAACCAAGAAGTTTAACTATTTCACCTGTACAAAGGAGTCCACAGACTCTCTAGTTGCAAGGCAGTCCAAGAGAAGATATACTGACTCAATGCTCCTTTTTCCGTTGTTGGCAGATATATTTTCAGATCAAGAGGTTTATTGCCACATGCACACAGGTTATATAGCGCTTATGTTTCTGTGTCACTAATATATTCCCTTAATCTCTGTAGAAAATCCCAAGATATATAATTGTTCTTGGCAGAGTCTTCACCTGATGAATGATTACATAAACCACATCTTAGGATTTCTTGGTTTTTATGGGACTCAGACCAGACTAGTTTGCCTTATGAACAGAGTGATACCTGTTTTTTTAAAAAAACAACCGAACTGTTCAATCTGGGAAAACTGATATGGAGGCAGCCAGGGCCCACAACACCCATAGTAAAAATGACTTAGTGACTGTAGCTATAGAGGTGTATTCTCTGGGGGAAAATCCTCCAGGCAGCAGCTTTTAAAGGAAAATGAGCAAAACTGAGAGAACATTCCCTGGTCATTTCAACAAGCTGGGGTCCAGACCCCTAGTCTGGGCAGGAACATTGCAGAGGGGATGACCACTCATGGCTAGATAAGAAGACGTCCTTTTAATTCTAAACTGATGTTATTTCTTTCTGTGTCATTCTGAAGCAAGCATCCCCAATAATTATTGCATGGAGATGCTTTCCAGAATCAAACCTCACTTGTGTCCCCATAACAACATGCCTAAGACACCACGCTGTCTTGATTGCTTTGTCCAGTTAAGCTGGGACAGCTCCTCAGTTTATCCTTGCTGTTTTGTTCAATATGGGGCGGGTTGCTGGTTCTTAAATAATGCATTATTCCAGAGCTACAGTGCCCCAGTATTAAAAGCTGTGCACTTGTTTCTCGTACAATACAGATGAAAGGAACAGGACTTCTAAGTGCTTCTTAAACAAAGAGGATCTTTGGCTTACTGAGAGAGAGAAAGGTTAAATTTCCAGGGCTGGTCATTTGCCAAAAGCCTGGATGAGCATGCCTAATTCAGAGATACAAACCTTGTCTAAGCAGTACTGGCATAGGTCGTTGCCTCCAACAAGGACAGTGATCAGCTTCCAATCTTCCTTGAAGTTAATTTGCTAGCGGCACATAAAATAAACAGATTGCAGAGCCCATTGCTTAGGCACGGAGAGGTAACATTCACTGAACGGGGCTAAACGGGGTACAGACGGCAAGGCAGGACAGAGAAAGGAGGCATGCTGCGTTAAGACAGCAGAAGAAAAGCATCTGTCCGGGGGGAAAATTGCTAGTCCAGCCACAATTCACCTTGGCTTTTGGAAAGAAATCCCCTTCGGCAGACAAGATCTGTCAGGGTAGCCGAGCATGGAAATGTGTCTGTGGCAGTAAGTGTGCCTAAATGAATGTTAGCTTCAGGACAGGGATAGACAGGAGAGATTTGCCGGACAGAGCTGAACACTGCAGGCAGCATGGGGCCAGAGCAGTGCTGGAGTGGATGCTGGAGCTGTGGAGCCACTGGGGATCCCTGCCAGCTGGGCAAGTATTACCCCGTGGCCAGGAGGGGCGAGGGGCGCCCCGGGGAACAGACAGCTGGATTAAAATAGAAGAGTCCAGGAGGCTGGTGACTTCACTGAGCTCATGTAAGGGCAGCTGCAGCATCCACGTCACTGCAAGCTAACAATAGGCGCTGCTGAGAGCTGGATCTCATCAAAACATTTTGTAACAGTTCAGTACAAAGCAAGGAATCAAAGGCAACTATTTTTAGTGCAGTGCATTTACATAACAAACATCTGCAAAAGGATCCCACAAAAAGAGGAAGGGCCTGGGAATCACCCACAGGTCTGAATTCTTCTCCTTTGCTCTGAAAGCCTTTCATAAAGAGGCAAAACATGGCAGGGACTTTCCCCCTCTTTTTAAAGATGCATAAAAAGCATGGAATAAAACAATAGACCCACGTACTATTTTATTGAAGAGCCATACCAGCTCCCTTCACTCTGCCAAACAATCGGTAATGCTGAGTAACTGACAGTGGTGTTAGCATGCCACATCCATCAAGAGTGCTGGCATGGAGAGATGCATGCTTTGACAAATCCTGCTTATTCAGTACCTTCCTTTCCCATTCAGCCTGAGCCAAGGAGCACCAGGCACTCCCATTCCCATACAGGGTTCTCTCCCTGAACCAACAGCTCACACCCAGACAGTCATCTGCTCAAATTCAGCCAACACTTGGAGCAGGGCAGCCTTGGTTTTATTACAGATTTCCTTCCCCCACACCAAACTGCAGCAGCAGTCACTGAATTAAAAGCGAGTCACCCTTTTGGTGCCCTGTGTAGCCCTCAGTGGAGCTGCCACAGCAGGCTGGCCCACAACACTAGATCGCCTGCTAATTCCCTAGAAGCCTGTGGCATGACAGGGATTCACCCAACCCTGAGGTTTCTGGCCACTGATTAATAATCACTTGCTCGTCTAGAACCAGAGTTTCACAGGGCCTAATCTCCTGGGAAGATTTCAGTTGTCCCCCTTCCCAGTATTGCCATTTCCCAGACCCAAGAGTGAACAGTATGATTCATGTTAGTCACCAGGTGGTTGTTTTCTTTTTTCTGACCTCCATTTTGAATGCTGCTGCTCAACTAAGCAGTCCTGTGATCTCCCCAGAGCCTTCAGATCTCTCCTCTTCCTCACTACTATCCTTACAACTTCTGGCCTCACTGCACCCTACATTAGTCTCTGCTTTGTGTGTCTGCACCTTACCTGCATGGATTTGCACGGGTAAATTATCATCTCCTAAAGGCTAATCCCTGGCACATTTATCTTGGAAAGAACACCAGAGAAAAGGACACTGACTTTTCTTCCATCAGTAAAGCATTCTTCACTACTCAAGCATCCCATCAATTAAAGCGATCTCCCAGAGACCATGGGAGCATTCAGGGGTGGCCCAAATTCCACTTACCGAGCTGCTTCTCATTAGCTCCACCAATTGACGTGCTTGGGCTGACATATTGCTGTAGAGAGAGGACAGAAGCATTTTAGATGCGTACTCTGAAAGCACATCATCTTCTTGCTCTCCAGCTCCTCATTTCAGGGA